AAGTTGCAGGAATATCTTTACTTTCAGTATAGGAAAGTGTTTTCTTCCTGTGTTGAATATCCACCTCAATATACAAGTGAAAATCAAATATCAGAAAAATTGAAACTTGGAGCTAGAATGAAAACAAGACTTCATTCAGCAAGCACTCAATAATTTAGATATAGCTGGAACTTCAAGGACAGACAGTATCTCAGGATATTGTGGTAACCTTACAGAATTTCTGTTTAAAGTTTATGTATATGCTCTTTTCCCTTAGAAAATCCTGCTTTAGGAATATTAATGTCTTATGCAAAATTCCTTATCATTGTAAATTTGAAAGAATTTTTAGTATTTAAATGTGTATTTGCATAAATAACAACAACATTCTCATTTACATAAAAAAGAATCATACAGATTCCCCATATAGATTGGCACTCCTAAATCCATGATTATATGAGCATAGAATTTTCTGTTTACTGCCTTCTATATACATAAACAGAATATTTGAAATTAGTTAACAACACACACTTAAGTTTATTTAAGTCAGTATAGAGAGCATCCTTATAATAATATATTTTATACATGAAAAAAATCCAAGATAATTATCTTTCACCAATTTTAACTACAATATAGGTAAGGGCCTCCCAGTTGTATGTTGTGTGGCTGCTATGAATGACCCTATATTCAGAGATTGTTTAGAAATGAGCCTTGGAATAAAGGTTGGTAAAGAGCCTCTCATTTACACCATTGGAATAAAATATATCACATCGTTGTCTAGACGTGTCTGCTTATATGGAATATATTCATTTGTAAACCAACAAACAAAAGGTTTCTCCCAGCATGTGCCATTTTCTCCTTCACACTGTAGAAAAAGAGGACCGTATTGAAAGGACTTGAAGCAAGCTGGTCAGTCTTGGTGCTCCAGGGGAAGGTGCCCGGTGCATCATTACATTTCATGTGTTGTTTTTCAAGAGACGGCTGCAGTCAGTCATCTTGCATATGGTTTGAAAAAGGCTTGGCTCACTGGCAAGCAAACTGTTATTTAAGTACACAATCCACTCTACTACTGAAACAGTTTTGCCAAACTTATCCAAGTATTCTCACATGCTTAAAGATGGTATAAATATCATTTATTGCTAGCAGTTTTCTTCAGACTATATGCAATGTCTTCCTGCTGCCTGATCTAAGTGTCCCAGTTTACATTATGGCCTTTACTGCCTCTGTTTGATGGAGTGATCAGTAAAAATTTAATGACACTATAAAATAATAAAAATGTCATTAATTTACCACGGATCTTGGATGCAGTGGTTGTAAAGTTACATTAATAAACAGAATATTTTTTACAACAAAAAGCATTGTTACGTGGGAACATATAAATAACACACATAAATTTAAGAGCAATTTTACTGTTAGCACACACATTATTATGGAATAGCCAATAAGTGTATAAAACATAGTATATAAAATTTTATTAAAATATACTGTGCACATCAAAAATTCAGCTTTTATCTAAGTGCAAAGAAAAGCCATTATTGTGTGCTTACTGTTTCATTGCTGTTCTTTCCCAAGATCACAATTTTATATTTGTTGCCAGTAAGATGAAGCTGATTTTTTTTTCCTAGATGAAAACAGACCTCTGGTCTTTTAGTCACCCCAAATTCATTCTCTTTCTCTCCACTAATGCAAAGCCATAATTGATCAGTCTTGCCATGGTAGGGAGGGAAAAGTTGCTAATTTAATGCAAAGTTAAAAATAATGCCTGAGGAGTTGAATGGTTTGTTCAGTGACTCTGGAAATAAGGGATAATAATGCAGCAGTCTATCTGTCATCAGTGAGGCCGCCCCGTCATTGACTCTGATAATATGTGAAGATGATGGATGCTACCATCTTGTGGCTTGTAACATTTAACATTCATCAGCTCTCACTAAAGGGGGCTTTATCATTTAAATATCTTTATTTAATATGCAACATCTACCTCATACATCATAATTTCAAAGCACTTAGAGAGCCAACCGTCCTACAACACAGCAGAGCCGACTTTAATTTTTTCAATAACTTTTATGTTGCCTGCATGTTTGTGACTGACAATGCATAAGTAAGTGTCTGATCACACTGCTGCATGTAAAATGCACATTGCACTGTCAACGTGAAGATTGGGAAATTTTCTAGGGGGTTGAGATTAAATTAGCAGGAAGGTATTTTGCTTATGTCTAGAAATTATCCTACTTGAGAGCTATACACACTATGAGGTCTAGTTCAAGTGTGGGGGGAATTTGGACTTAAGGAGTGCCACCCACCATCTGTATTTGTCCCACATAGGGGCATGCCCATTAGCATTTAATGGCCAGAAGTGTAAACACCTTGGAGCTAAAGTGTCTTTATACCTACCCCTCTTTGAACTCATGTCTACATCCTGTAGTTACTAGGCTTATATTCAACCTCACTGGTAAAATCTTTGCTTAGCTCAGTTGCCCAGGCCTAACTTGTAGACATCAAGCCCTCTTATCTTATGGTTATGTGGCTGGCAAATAAATATTCTGAGCTATTCTTTGAAGAAAAGAAGGAAATCTTGTGGGAGACAAGGTGGAAATTTATATGAAAGGGCCTGGCTTTGCGGAGTCCTCCTTTAATCTCAAACACAGTGCTTAATATTATCAAATTTAAGATGCAACCTAGTACCAAAACAATTTTTATCATTGATTTATTTTCTGCCTATTTAACAAGGATTTCATGGGATATTCTTCCTTGTCTTCTACTCTGTCAAAATATTGATAGTTTATAGGGAAAGTATCTCTGCAGAAGAATTTTTTTCAATGAAGTCAGAAAAAAGTATGACTTCAAAGACACTGTGGATGTGTTGTTGAATGTTCTGAATGTTTTTTGTTATGATTAAAAACAAGCCGATACTTCTGAATTGTGAGTGCACTTCATTTTTATAAAAGAAAAGATATTATCATCATGTAAGCTTTGTTGTCTTAGGATTTTACAAACCATGGCATGTAATTTTCCCTCTTCTCCTTCCTTGTCAAAATATTGATATTTTTTCAGGAACTTTATTTATTTATTTATTTTTTTACTGAGACTATTTTTCTGGTAAAATCAAAGAGAATGAATGACTAGAAAGATACTTGAAATATGCATATTGATAAGTAGCACAGTCTGTTGATTTTCAGAGAAAGTTGTCTCCCCGCCCATGAAAATACAGTTAAAGGTTGTTCTTCCAAGAAGATTGCAGGTGTCACATCAAAACTCCTTTTGCATTTAACACAGGGAAAGCATTCACATGCAAATACTTGAAATGCAAAACAATGTGATAAAACAAAGGTTGAGTATTTTGCTTTCCCTGGTACTACCCATCTTTACTTTAATTCTTTTTCTTTACATCATGACAACTAAAAGTGCTACTCAAAAAATAGCAATTGGCTGATTAAAAGCAGCTGTCCTCCCCCTGACAATGTGTGAAACTCCCACATGGCTTGCAGTTGCTTTTTGTTGTGTCCTGCATCTGGGTTAATTTGTTCTTGAACGGCAGTGTGTTCATATAAGAAGATATTAGGGAGCCATACTTAATTTGGTTTTTATTTTCAGCCGGTCTTTTATAAGTGTCATATTTCAGAGGTTTCCCCTCTGAATTGCTATTGAAACTAGTTAGTATTACCCAGTTAGAGAAAGTCATGATTATAATTTTTCTTGCAGATCCATCATAGAAATGGTGCTAGATGAAAGCAAGGTTTTATGCTATGTTTTCCTCCAACACAGATTTCAACATATTCCATGATGAAGGAGAACTAGAAGACTTCCTGCACAATTTGACTGATGGGAATTAATTATAGAAATATAATGATATTCAAAAATAATTGTATTAGAAAGCACAAATGTAGTGAGACTGTACAAATGAGGCACAGCCTCTATCAAGTAATTGTATGTTTGCTCTTTAAGAATATTTCCAAGTTTCTAAACATTTTACAGAAATGAACACGCAGAGTATTTCCATCTAATGCCGAACATGCTCAGTACAGAACTAGGTCATTGAACAATAGACTGTGCAGCAATCAGCACTCTCTGCTGCATAATGCATTAAGTATAACATGCAGAAACCATTCCCGGCGCTGGAAGCTGCTATTTCATGTCTGTAAATTCAAGCTGACATGACACTTAATATTGTTTCATAGTAATGAACAACAAGGTTTCATTCATTCATAAGCATAACACAAAGCCAAGTTTGAGTCTGGAGAGTAGTAAGGAGGCGATAGGGGAACACGTGCTGGGTTTTGCAGACAAGAGCACTCTATTAACGATGGTCAATGAACCCTCGACTTATCCAGAAGCTGCAGAGCTCTGTTCGCTGTGATGCCTCAGACTCCTACTCCTAGAAGAACTGGTGAACAAGCAAACAGCTTTGGGTTTCCCTCCTACAGCAGCAGGGATGTCTAACTTTCTTGGCTCCGCTGCTGGCTACGAGTGATGTCCTCCTTTTTAGTTTCCAGGAAGTCACAGTTAAAACTCTCGGGCAAAACAGTAGTAGCAATGCCATTATCTTGTGTACTTGCTTTGAAATATTTGTTTTTGAAATCCTGATGCATAAAATTCTAATTTGTATTCCCCTAGGAATACCAACACAAGCTATGATCTCTAAATGTGAAAATTCCTCTCTCATTAAATTTAGCAGTATAATTTAATAGGAACTATTCTTTCACGTTTTTGTACTTTTGGCTCAGATTTCTCTATTGCATTCCTTTTATATTACCAAAGCAAATCCAACAGAGGGAAGATGTGTAGAGCAGCTCTAACAGGTTCCCCATCTCAGGTTTCCTTTTCTTACAAGGTTCTGTGGTCTAGATGTTCTCAACACTGCCACAATCAAGCTTTAGCAGAATCTTCCTAGAAGATTTTTCAAAGCCCAAGCGGGTCCAAAATGACGTTTTCAAATCCAAGTTTGCCCATTAAATAAGATAGAAACTGGGGAGAAAAAGTGGCTTCTTTGGAAGCTAGATTAAGCCTCTCATTATCCTTTCCTCTAGGAAAGAACACGCTTTGAGAATTTGGGGTCCCAGTTGACAGGAAAGTCAAGTGAAGATGGAAAGCTGGGCCCAGGTGTCATCGACCTTACTCGACCAGAAGATGCAGAAGGTGAGTGGTTTTTCCATGCTCTTTTCTGCTCTTCTGTGTGTTTCAAAGGCATGCCTGTGAATCCTGATGCAGGATTTTTATGGCTGTTCTTGGGAGTCTTCAGCTGGATTTTCTAGGCAAAGGAAATGTTGGTCTCTTCTGGAAAAGCAGAGGAAATGTTGGTCTTCAGTATTCATTATAATTGAGGACTTTGAGAAGCAGCTACATCCTATATTACTGAACACAGCAATCCAAGTACTTAAGGTACCATTTTAAAGTTTAAAATAAAAGGACCATCTACATTTCAATGAGAGACAGAATTTTATATTTCATCCACCTCACTACCTTCTTGTTCAGAAAAATAAAAAAATATAAACGAGGAGGACTTTTTTTTTTTATAACTTCCAAATCAAGTGTTTCTTAGGTTCAGTCAAACCATGGGGGCTAAGTGAAGGTTTGCAGCAGATAGGGCATGAACTTGCTGGGTTGCTTGAGAGAGATTTTGCCTGTTCTGGGCACTAACCATTAGTGAAGTCTGCTCAAAATTTGGGTGGAAAGAATAGCCTTTCTCTCAGGACATTTACAGCACTATCAGTGCCTGACTGCTTCTCTTCCTTGTTTTGTTTGTTTGTCTTAAATACACAAGCAGCACATCAGCAAAAATTGCTCCCCAGAGGCAGAGTACAGCCTGTGGGTTAGGTCAGCACTTCGGGAGTAGTGTTGCCTGGTCATTTACTGTGTCATCACAGAGCGGGGACTGGTTTTCCTGTTAGCTGTTTCTTTGGCAGAATCTGTCCTACCAGTCAGGGAAGATTAATTTGTTCTCCTTAGAGTAATGTGATACTTCACCCATCTTGAGTCACAGCTAAAGTCCTTTTTTAGCTTGAGGGGAAGAATCTTACTAGTATCTCCTCTACTGGCAGGGTTTCTTCCAGGACCCTAATCCCTTGAAAACACATGAAGATATTTCATAGCAATGTCTGAACTGGGCCTTCCCTTCCAAGGCAGTTCAGAAATCCCTGCCTGAGGTCTAAGGGATGGGTAGTAGCAGGCTTAGGAAGCACTTCCAAGAAATTCCAGAAGGCAGGTTTTTCTTACCAGGAGAGACTAATGTTTGATGGTAGTCCTGGGGACAAGGTGTTGAAATTTATTTTGATCAATACTTGCATGTGTGTGCATTCACTCATGTGTGCGCCTCTGTGTGTGTGTGTGTGTGTGTGTGTGTGTTTGAGAGAAGGAGAAATGAAGGAAGGGAAGAAGATAGGGAGGGGAAGAGGAAAAGGAAGATGAATAGGAAGGGAAGGTAGAGAACTGTCTTCCTTGAAGAATGTGTACCAAGAGCATACTGACATTTTCATAGATACTTGGAAGTACAGATTTTTCATTGGTGAGGCTTAAGATTTCTCTGTCCAGGGTCAGGGAGTCCAAATGATGGGACTTGCACATTTAACCACCTGACTATAACACAGACATTGTAGCTGGCCTGAAAGTCTGTGAGAAAGGGTTTCAGATCAGGCCTGTCTCAATTTTGTTGGAAGATTGTACTGTGAAATGTCTAAATAGTTGAACATATAAACTGAAATAAATAGTTTTCATCACTCTGGATTACAGTCTGTTCTTCAGTCTGTTCACTTGGCTGTAGACTACGAGTTATAGAGCTCCATCACCTTACACTTACTCAAACAGACTTTTCTTAATCTGTCATTCACCCTTTGACATATGGTTTCTTAACTATATATTGGCTATAAATATAGTCAGTTGCCTCTCAGTAATGTTGATAATCAAATTGATGGTATCATCTGCTTGATAAGGGAATAATCATGGAGTTATTAACCATTATAAAAGGAAAAAATTTAAAACAAACTCTAGAGAAGCATATTTTATAGAAATATCTTGGGAAATTCTATCAAATACCCATATTGTCTAGATTCAAATATTTTTCTAGATACTCTTTTTCTCAGCAAACATTAATCCAGCACTCATATGCCAGAGAATGTGTTTTTTACACATTTTCTTATTTAATCTTTATACACCCAGTAAAGATGGTATTACTAATTTTTTCCATTTTACAAGTAAGAAAATTGAGTCTGAGAGTAATTAAATAACTTGCTATAGGCTACATAGCTAGTAAGGATAGAGCTTAGATTTGATGCCAGGTTCAAATATCAGCTGCCATTCTACACCCCCCTGTATGTACAGATAAATATGTGGTGCCTTTGGTTTTTGAACAAACTCCTTGTGACCTTCCTCAGTATGGCCCATTTCCTCTCCCCTAAATATAGCAGGTCATGCCATACAGCAGCTCTCATGTTACTCTGTCACACATGGAATCAGAGCCTGATGAGTGTAACAGAAGAAGGGCTGTAGTGGCTCAGGAGCTTAAGGAGCGTGTGAAAACCTCCCTTCAGAAGCTTGCCCAGAGTTGCCATTGAGACCTCATGTGCTTTTGGGGACTGTGAGTTCATGAATGGAGTCAAGTTACCTGCTCTAATATGGAGAGCAGTGCAGTGCCTTTGTGAGGACTGCTGGGATGGGGAGCAGCCTTCTGCTGACTTCAGACTATTTCCTGGCATCTGTTCAAGTGTGAGCTGATTGCAAAGCCTGCTGGAGTTACAGTTCATATTAAAGTCGGAGTAGATAACAGGTACATATAATACTTTTTCTACTTTGCTCCTTCATATTGCCCTCAGCAGGAAGATTAAAAAGGGGCTAAAGTTTCAAAATAGTGAAAAAGCATATTTGTTCCTTCACTAAGTCTATGGTCCAGCAAAACAAATGAACATTGCTTGAGAGCCTGCCATGTGCCAGTCCCTGAACTAGACCCTGGGTAATCTGTGGGAAGCAATAGAGAGATGCCCTTGACCTCTTGGAGCTTATGGTCTAGTGAGGGAAGATGGCAGATTAAAAGGGAAATACGTACATACGTACATACATACATACACTATTGGAATTGAGAAAAAGTGCCAAGAAGAGCAGGATTTCGTTGTACTCTACAAAAATTCAGAGGGACAGCTTCTTAGGAAGGCTGAATTGATAGGTGTGCTCTGGCACAGAGAGAGATCGTCTCTCTCCATCCATGCATGATCATCTCCAAACAGCATTTTTAAGGGACTCTGCCTTCCCTGCTTTTCTGCCCTACCCTCCTGTCGGGCTTCTGAAGTGACTAAAGTAAGTCAGTTCTGAAGATGAGGCCCTGATCCAGCTAGGCTTCCCAGGAAAGTGTCTGCCAGCCATGAAAATGACAATATCACTTAGTAAGCAACTTGTAGACCTGCTTCATAGCCCTGGGCATGGAGGCAGCAAAGAAAAGGTCACCAACAGAGGCAGCTGTGCATGTGTATTAACCACTCATCAAAATCAAATGACAAAACCATAAGTAAGGAAAACAGAAATTAAAAATATAAAAGGCAAATGCCTTCAAAATTTTATTTTTAAAGTCCAGCTGTTATTTGGCTTGAATGTGACAAGACAGCATTTCTTGTTCACCATGGTATTTATAAAGCTACAAATTCATTGGTGCTGGGGACTTAGGAAACATGTTTAAGGTCTTGTTAAACTTTGAAGCAGTTGAAGGCTTAACATGTATTGAGCACACACAATTTGCTAGCTTCCATGTGCAAGGACATACAAGGAAGAGAGAGCTTGAATAGTTGGGTCTGTCACTTTGTATTAAGAATGACAAGCAGCTGTTGAACTTTTTATGGACTTTCTGCATGGCGTTTTCCCTCTTTTTGGTTTGCTTAAGCAAGGGTACAAGTCTTATCCCAACCCTCCTAATTTCAAGGTTGCACAGTATGGTAGAAAGGGCTTTGGCCTGGTTATTGGGAGATTTGTATTAAAGTTCCTTTGCTAAATGATTGAAAACAAGAGATTAATGCCTCCAAGCTTAAGTTTCATTATCTTTTAAAAGACAAATGTTGAATTTGGTCTTTTACAAATCCGTGATTGTTGTCAGGGTCTTCATAAAACACTGAGTGCATGTCTTATAAGAAAGATGATCGCTGGGCACTGGTGGCTCACATCTGTAATCCTAGCTACTCGGGGCAGAAGGAGGATCAGGAGGATCACGGTTCAAAGCCATCCTGGGCAAATAGTTCTGTGAGACCCTATCTCGAAAAACCCCTCACAAAAAAGGGCTCAAGGTGTAAACCCTGAATTTAAGCCATATGCAAAAAAAAAAAGGAAGCATGATAATCCACAATAAGTTCCATTTTGATTTTTCAGAGAAATAAAGAGAGCAATACCTTAGAGAACATATTTGTGCCACTCGCTGAATTGAGTTTTCATGTTCTTTGAACTACTGTTTATTAATGAGAACATCTCTCCAGTACCATTTCCCAGTTGTCATTCACAGGTGGGCACCTCCTCTTCTCCCTCCTCCTCTTCCTCCATCAACAACAGTTGTGACTTGGCTTTTTAAAACATACTCTTTTTAATCTCTCTCTCTATATATATGTATGTATATGAAACCTAGGGTTTCATACTTTTGTGTAGTATGGTTTGGGTAAGAAAACATTCTTCTAAGAATTTAAAAAAAATTTTTGCCTTCAATTATTGTTCCCCAACCTCATAGGGATGCTATACCTCATTTTGATGTGAGGAACAATGGAATATGAGCCTATTATTTAGAGATGAACTCTGAAAGCAATTATATTTGGCAGACTTTTGGGCCCTGGCTTGCAAGTGGAATGATATGCTGTCCTCCATGTATTAAAAACTTGAATTGATTTGAATGGAAATGGTTATGTGTACCAACTGTTTAGAACTGTTGTTCTCAGATTTTTTTTAGAAGCTTTTTATAGATTCATATTCAATTATGAATTTGATCACAGGCAAGATGGCCTTGCCCTTCTCAAAGCTTTCTCTTCCTCCTCTTCCTTTTCCTGCTCCTCCTCCTCCTCTCCCTCTTCTTCTTTTCCTCCTCCTTCTTCTTTTTCTTCCTCTTTCTTTTTTGTGAACCTTTGATTGCTGCTAAGTTTTATTATCTCAGGATAGTTTTATTATTCTCAGCTTAAGCTCTC